TTTTTTTTCTATGCATGGACGTGGGAGATTGCGCGCTCCTCCTCTCCATCGCCTTCCCGTCTACGATCATTCTTCTGTTATCTCAGGCCTGCACGACCTGCGACTCACACGGTTCCTTCCATACACACTCTCGCGATCGTGCCGTCGTCCACAGCTTGTTTGTCCTTTCACATTCACATTCAAAAAATTAAGACAACACCCTAACACACCCTCCGTGCCATGCGGGGCATTGTGGGCAACCCCCCCCTTGTTCTCACTGCAACTCTGTCATCCTCGTTGCTTGCCATTCACTGAATCCCACACCCACTCTCATCGCCCTGCTCGACCCTCTCCCGTTCTTTCCATCAACCTACCATACCTCTTCTCCCATGCAGCAAACCACCTCGGCTCCTCCCTCCCCTCGTCCCAGATCGTGCTGCAACCATAACAATTGACCCACAATCAAGCGCTCTTTCCCGCTGTCTCTCGACAGGAAAAATCGAATCGCGCCACGGATGACAGCGGCCAGGCCCATCAAAAAGGCGCACATCCAACAACGGAAACCCCAAAGAAAAAACAGAAAAAGAAAAAGAAAACGGAAAAGGGAAAAAAAAAAAGCGTAAACCCCAAACTTACTTACTGCTACGGCCTGTCCCTCCCAGCCAGGTCCCACTAGCAGCGTTGAACTACCTCAACTCCGGAATCTGGACGTGTTTGTGGAGACGTGCAGTTCAGGAAACTCAACACCATTTCTGCCCATCTCCGCAAAAGCGTACACACATTCAGGCGTTGAGGTACCTCAACGCTGCTAGTGGGACTTGGCCCCAGCGGTCGGTCCACTACTCCCACGTTCGCGGGAAAAAAAGGAGCCAAAAAAAAGCAAAGAAAAAGAGCTCGCGCCAAGGTCCCGGCCCAAAAAAAGGGGCGCCGTGGGCGAAAAAACCATGACGGTCCTTCGGGACATAAGAGAAGAATCGAAATGAGGGGGTTTGTGTAAGAAACGACAAAAAAAGGGTATGAGCAGAGTCTTTTGTAAGAGGGGGGGGGGGGGGGGGGAAGATTAGCATGGGTCGTGCGCAAGGATGACATGACAGGCAAAAAGAAGGTGCCGAAGAGGGAAGTCGGTACCCCGCCGACGATGCGCTTTTTTTGGTGGGGGGGGGAAGGGAGGGGTCCCCGAAAAATAAACTGAACCGCGCGGGGCGCAGGGGCGCAGCCAGAGTATATGAAACTGCAGTTTAGACTATTCGTGTTTTGCACGAGTCTTTTTTTTTTTTTTTTTTTTTTTTTTTTTTTAAACAAAACATCTGGCTCCATTCTATTAGTGGGGAGCAACACTTGCTGGGAACCGGGCCCAGCGTCCCTCATAAGATCCAAAACTGGAAAACCGGGGCCGGGGTCCCCACAGTCTACCCCGTGAAAAAGAGAAAGAGTAACTGAGTTCCCTTCATGGATTACTGCCGGTTCTCGTTTGAAAGAAAAAAATTCTAGTTCTTACTTGAGATCTCAGTCCCTCTCAGCTGAGAGCTGTCAGATAGGCAGGCTAGGTCTCTNTTTTAAACAAAACATCTGGCTCCATTCTATTAGTGGGGAGCAGCACTTGCTGGGAACCGGGCCCAGCGTCCCTCGTAAGATCCAAAACTGGAAAACCGGGGCCGGGGTCCCCACAGTCTACCCGGTGAAAAAGAGAAAGAGTAACTGAGTTCCCTTCATGGATTACTGCCGGTTCTCGTTTGAAAGTAAAAAAAAAAAAAAAAAAAAAAATTCTAGTTATTACTTGAGATCTCAGTCCCTCTCAGCTGAGAGCTGTCAGATAGGCAGTCTAGGTCTCTAGGACTGTGTAGTGATCCCACAAGAGGTCGGAATAGATAAGTTTGTTGTCGCTAGAGAGGTCAGCCCACTTACAAGGTGAGGACCAGTTCCTCTTAAACTTGTGTTTGGCTATTTCCAAGTTCCTCAGGTTACTTCTCGTTCTGTACCAATCTGTAGTAACTTCCATTCTTATGGACTGTAGGAATTTCACAAAAATAGCAGGAAGAGGAAGATTAGAGTCCAGAAAACATCTGTCCCGTCTTGCTATCCATAGGGACCAGAATGCCCTTCTCCTGAAGATATGAGCTATCCTTTCTAATTGATGATTTCTAAACCTCTCCGGAATTCTCCCTGTAATTATAAAATCTTTGTTCCAAAAGTCTGATATGGTGTACGCTTTCCCCCATGTGGAATTCAAGAGTTCCCAAAAGCCCCTAGCAATGACACATTCCCACCAGAGGTGTAACCAATCTTCCAGGCACGGGTGCGGGCAARCTTCACAGGMCKTTTGTATCTCCATACCTCTTTCAGCACACCAGAGGRCGGTGGGGACACATGAGTGTAGGTGCAGCCATTGTAGACCTCCTACCTTTGTTTCCAAAGCTGAGAGTATGAGTTGGATAAAAAAATATACCCACGATGCTGTGATCTGCTTCAGACCAAGTGCTGCTGCTCTGCGTTGCCAGTTGATGATGAGGCCAGCTTGAACGGAGTGAGCTTGGGAGTGGAGACTATAACCGATCCGTGAAGTGTACTGTCTCAGTGGGGTTTTGGTAGTCTCTTTGCCAGGAATTGATATCTCCCAACCAATTTTGTCTATGTCCACCTTCTGCTCAGGCATGGAGATATGTTGGTTGAGCCTGAATACTCCTTCTGAGTCTTGTAGAACACGAGTCTTATTGTAGAAGCCCAGAGAGATGCGTTTTTTCTGAACTGGAAAAAAGGAATGATAAGTGAAAGGGAAAAAATGGGAAATTAAAAAGAGAAATTATAAAAAGAGAAATTATAAAAGGAGAGTCAAAAGAATTGTGTGATAAAAAAAGTAATTTGACAGCATTAACAAGTTGCGCGGGCGGGGGCGGTTGGCCTGATGCGGGCCCAGTTCCAGCCTTGGGCCGAAAAATGTTGTTTTGGCCGAATGGCGAAGAATTTCGTGTCTTGTCGTTTTCCATTCCGCCGTGAACTGTCTTGTCGTTTTCCATTCCGCCGTGAACTGTCTTGTCGTTTTCCATTCCGCCGAACGACTTTTTCCCTAAACCCCGAAAAGACCCCTCATAACTACCAATCCGTGTCGCAGGCACGACTGCACCCTTCCAACTCTTTCCCAAAACCCTGAAAAGACCCCAAGAAATACCATTTTCGACGACAAGCTCTGTCCGTGTCGCAGGCAGGACTACACCCTTCCAAAGGGTCACCGACATAACTACACCCTTCCAAAGGGTCACCACACTTCCCACCCACTACAAGCGAGTGGCCAGCAACTCGTGAAGTTCGTGAAGTGTTTTGTTCTTGTCGTTTTCCATTTATGTGGCAAGACCGTTACGGCGTCATCGCACTTCCTACTACAACATGGTCAGATACACCTTCATTCGAAAGAATTTTTGCCAAAATTTTCCGGATTTTTTTTTTCCCCCTGTTTTCTTCTTGTCGTTTTCTGTTCCGCCGATTCAATTCATTCGAACGAAAAAGAACGCGGAACAAAAAATAACGCGCACCCTTCACCACCTACCCACCATTCACCACCTACGCACTTTGCAAGGGAGTCGTCGCAACTTTTCTTGAACACCTTGTAGCCCCTCACTATCCATTTTACACCCATTACACCCATTCACATACAATCATTTCGTCCCCGAAAAGGAAAACGAAGTCGCCGTCCACAACAAACCCCAACGACCAGTAGACCTACAATGCCTGAAGACTACAACAACCACTCATAACTACCGGTCAGTCTCCTACCCGCGACCGCACCCTTCCAACTTTTCCCTAAGCCCCGAAAAGACCCCAGCCAATACTATTCAATACGCACGACATTTCCCAAAAAAGAAACCCCACAAAACGACAAAATTACAATCGTAGTAAGCGCAACCTCTGGCTGCGAATTGGCACTCACCCTTCTTCCCATGAATTCTACCTCATGCACCCCCACTCCCTCAGTCTTACCTCAGGGCATAGTCACACTGGGACCTATAATCCCAAATACCCCCCAAGGGAGGTAGAGGACCGGTCACATAGATTTGCCAAAGTCCTAAATGTACCATTTGTGTGCCTATTTGTCAGCAGTCTGCGTAGCCGCGGGGCAAGGGAATTTGCAGTCACCTTTGGAGGTGACCCCAAATGCCCTATTTATTTTTTCGCATTTGCTTCGAGAATCAGTGAAAATTCGTACAACCACCACTACCTCCGAGCCTATTTTTGTCGACCCTGATTTTCACTCCGTTGTCGAGCGCACTGGTCCTGCAAGGGGACCCTCCCGGCCGCGTTAGGCAGGATTTTGCAGGACTTCGTCGCATAGGGCGGTTTCCGGCCAAGTTTGCCAGTCGTACCTCTCGCGAGCCCCTACGACAGGATAGGGGCGCGCGAGGCACAACTTACCTCCACCCGCGGGAGCTGTCACCATCCCTTCGGTGGGCGTATCCCCGCCAAGCTACCGGACCACGTGCGAAGATTTTTCGTATGCAATCGTAGAGGTGGCTGGCTGAGGGCGTTTTTCGTTCGCAATAGCATAGGGGGTACGCATGGTCAACACCCCTCAAACGGACCCACACGCGAATCGACGCATTGGAGGGTTGAGGTCCCAAGCACAACTCGTCGTCGGTCGACTAGGACGCTTTCCACTCACAACGCGTTACACCTCATAAAAAAAAAAAAAAAAAAAAAAAAAAAACTCTCCTAGTCCCTTCGATATCCAACCCATAACCTTTTAACACGAAGGTCGGTTAGGCGTCACGCACGAGTCTCAAGATAAAACCGCGCAAACGCTAGGCCTTTCTCATATCGACTAACAATGTAAGCATACACACGCAGTCGCAACGATGGAGTACTATGTACTACCCATAATCACGCGACCATCGATAGTCTCGGGGGTCACGTTTCGACACTCAAGTGTCGGCTGACACGCACCTTGAGGGGTTAATCTCTCGACGTTTCGACACTCAAGTCTCGGGGGTCACGTTTCGACACTCAAGTCTCGGGGGTCACGTTTCGACACTCAAGTGTCGGCTGACCACACCCTAGTCTTCACCCTGCCGAGAGTGGGTGGTACAAAGGTTCCGACCTGTGGTGGCAGTTAACTCTCGCGGCCTAGGGGGCAAACTCCATCATCCAGGGCCTGGAAAGAAATCAAGGGGTTTGACTTTGACGACTGTCACGGACTACAACGTCCAACCATAATAATTTTAAAAAGCAAAAGGTAAAAGAGGATCTCATTTTTCTCTCAAGATATAGATTGTTTAACTTTTGCACGTGGTCACAGCAGACCGTACGGATACTGAATGTATATGTATATGTAAGTGAGAACGTATACATATACGTATATGAGGGGTTGTAAACTATGAGGCTATTACTTTTCACAACCACTGTAGAGTTCTCATTATAATTATGCTAAGCAGATGTAGTTCAAACAGAAGTTAATTTGGTTTCAGGCGATTACTCTCACAAT